AAAAAAAAAAAAAACATAAATATTAAACTCTACTGCATCGGTAGTGGAGGTGGTGCACCAACAGGATTGTATCGACCATGTAGTGTTCCTGTATTCACAGCAGGATATACATTAGGGCTGTTGCCATTGTATAACATAGGTTGCTGCATTGGAGTAGAAAAGGCGGGATAGGACTGTGTCCAACCATCACCTTGTACATGATTCATAAAACCATTGCCGTTAGCATAAATGGTGTTAGTTGTATAAACTTCGTTTGTTTTATTCATTTGCAATGGTTGTTGTTGTTGTTGTTGCTGCTGTTGTTGTTGTGCAGTGGTATCAACCGCCGTGTAGGGACTATACTGTCCCTGGAACGCATATGGTTGTCGTTGTTGTTGTGGCATCATTGTAGGATAGCAAGGTTGACCACCGACGGTCAAGCTGGGCCCCGGTATTACTTGTTGTTGCTGTGGTGGTGGTGGTTGCTGCTGTTGCTGTTGATGTGTCTGATCTTGTTGCTGCAGTGGTGACAACACGACGTCTGATGGAGAATCCATATATCTGTAACTGTACCCCGGCGCTGAGGACAAAGGCAGTGCGGCTCGACCGGCCACCGAAATTGAAACCGGAGCCTGTTGATATGGATTTCCAGTTACCGGTGGACGTTCTGCCGCCGCAAGGTAATTATTCTGCGGTGAAGAACGGCTGTGGACGCCACCACGACCTCCCATCATACCGCGATTTTTCTTTCCTCCTCCACGGTTAACTGTATTGTATTCACGATAGACGGGAATGTTGTATAACTCACCCTCTCCAAATGTGAACATACCCATACTTTCCATTTTTTGAACAAGGTGTTGACCGTACACCGAACGACGTATGTTCATAATATGCGGTTTGGTTTGCTCAGCAATATGACGTTGTTGATCCTTGTTTATTTGCTGAAGAAGACGTTGTACAACATAGTTAGCATATGGGTCTTGCATCATCAGTACAAGATAGTTTCCATCCTCTGTACTACCCAGTGGTCGAGTAAGTGTCTCCACAATACGTTGTAATTCCTCATTATTTGCCTTTACAATAGTTTTTTCGGCTACATTAGACGCAAATTTGCTACATGACAATGCATATACATGAGGAATTAAAAGATCAACAAATCGTTTTCGAAGATCTTCAGGGGCATTTAGTAAACCATGTTGAACCACATAGTTACCATATTGATCCATTACATATTCATGCAAGTGCTCAAGTACCGCCTCCAGAAGAGGGCGAATATCCACTTCAGTAGCAGATGAACATTTCTCAAATACACACTGCAATACACGGCATCCGTAAGGATGCCTTGAGAGTGATTGAAGGCGTGGTAAAAAATCTTCGGTTACAAATTGTGCTTTATCTGGCATTACTTCTATAATCTTTTGCGCCACATGATTAGCATTTTGATCAAAAACACAATCTACGAGGGAATCCCTCAACTCATGCAGTATCTCTTCACGTGTTTGTTGTGAACCTCTTTCCAGAAATCGTTGAATGACACGACAACCATACATTTGGAAAGAAAACTCTTTTAAGCGCCCAGTCACATTTGCCATAAGTTGTTTGGACATGTCACTATCTACCGGTAGCACATCCAAAAGTTTTTGTAAAACATAATTTCCAAAAACGTCAACCATTAACTCACAGGTACTGTGAAGAACCTCATTAAAGATTGGTTCAACATTTCTATCATCTTCAAGGAGACGTTGAATAAATCGACTTCCATCTTGATCTTTACTCAAAGTAACAACATGACCTTTTATATCATCAAAGGAGAAATCTGTGCGTCCACCATCAAGGTATTCTCGTAACCATGGGAACTCATCCTTTAAAGATCTGTTATTATTTCCATCACTCCCATTTCCTTGTCTGCGTGTACTATTTTTAGCACTTCCATTCTGAAAAGAGCGTGTCCCACCACGAGGTACCCGAGATGAGGGAGTTCCATTTTGTCTTCCCACATGAATTGTAGAATCATCCTGATAAGAAGAACCACCACCGCTACGTGTTTTCTTATCCATTTGATCTTGAAGAAAACTTCCCATTGGGGTTGCGTTGCTTGAAATATTTTCTGCAGGGAGATTAGAAGAGACTTGACAGGTATCAATGCTTGAAGAAGGTGGTGTTCTATTTTCACCTTGTTTTTGTTGATTTTTAGCCAATGATTCCAGGACACTTTGGGCAAAGGCCACACCATTTTCCCCCGCATCCTTGAGTGTTTCATTATTAACATAGTTTGTTGTCAGTACAGGAGTGACAGTGGAAGTAGAAGCATTGGTTTTTGTGTTAGTGTTGCCGCTGTTGGTGATAGTGGTGGCTGCTGTGTTTGTAACTCCTTCTGCGTTTTCATATGATGTCTTGTTTGCTGTGGTGATACCACGACCGGGAAGGCTTGTCTCTACACTTCGCTTCTGCCCTGCGCGGCTTCGGAGTGGGACGAGCATGCGTGGGTCTCGTGGGAACTTGGAGTAGTAGAGATTGTGGTACTCCTCCGTGTAGCGGTACTCCTCCTCCGGGGGGACCTCCTCCTCGAGACTGCCGCCCACGCAGAGGGTGCCGTCGGCGGAGAACATCGTGAGGACCGACGGCGCCGTCTCCGCCCGCCGCACATCGCGCGGGTTGACGAGAAGAGCGTTCGCCCCGCCGCTGAAGATGTCAACGCCGCCCGCGAGCCAATCAACATCCGCCACCGGTGCTGCTCCGTCGCGTGATTCCCCCGTCATCGCCACTGGTGAGAAATTGTCCCAATCCGACATATGCCGTCCGTTCCTCGTGGATGGTAGTAATGAGAGAGAGAGTGATGATGTGGTTGGATCCGATGATGGGAGGTCTTGAATCTTACGAGAAATACCTGTTGATTGATAGTTGTTGCTTCTATTTTTTTTTTCTTTTTTTTTTTTTATTCTATTTGTCTGCACCAGGTTTCGTATCACCTGTGAGGTTCTGTGACTTGATTGTAGTTGATCACAGTAATGACACTCTCACTTTTGAAAATGTTCCCTGCTGCTTCCTATTGCCTCCTCTACAATGCGTTTTCTCTTCTTCTACTTTTCTTCTTTCCTTTTATTTCGTTTTCCTCTCGATGTTACAAATTTCTATCTCTTCAGGAGACAAGAAAGACTATTGTATATTCGTGATTTGATTTTTTTTTATTTGTTTTTGTTTTTCCTTTTCGCTTCACCCTTGTTTTTGCTTTCTTTTTATTATTATCCTTGTTTCTTGCCTATGTATACACGTGCGTATATTTCTGTGAGGACAGCCCAAATTCACTCTTGTTATTGCTTACGCTCAGAGTGAATAGAAAACAAGAACTATAACAGATATGCACACTCGAAACAAGTTTCTTCCATTCCATTTAGAAGCAAAAAAAAAAGAAAAAAGAAAAAAAAAGAAGAAAAAGGAAAAGAAAAAAAAAAAAGTAAAGAATTACAGATCGTAAAAAATAAAACAAAAAGGCAAAAAAAAAAATAATAATAACATTTTTTTTACAAAGTACTATTACACCATGAATTCCTCACTCTGACCCTTTATTATTTCGTTGGGTAAATTGAAAACATATTGTTTTGTGTACCTGTATATGATGCGATGCATCAACCACTGGGGGATCTCACCAGCAGCTCATCCTCCGCATAAGACATCAGAGGACCTTCCACATCAACTGAAAAACATGGTTTTCTCAAGATCATGCATTCCTTTACCGTGGTCAAATCTCAACAAATAGGCAGGAATAAAAAGAGATCAGTAAACAAGATGTAAACAAGAGGAATGAGCGAAAAAAAAAAATAATAATAATAAGTAGTCATATATACGCATACACACACACAATCACAATTACACTCATACATATGCAGTACTATCGAAGTATTAAAACAGAATCATAGTACAATAAGCCAAAAAAAGGTGAGAAAAAAAAAAAGTTCTACGAGTAGTTAAACAAAGGATTCAAACGGAGGGCTAATTTCTACACAAAACAACAGTCATAAAACACAGCAGAACAAAAAGGCGTGTATCTAGATAATTTATACAATATGAGTGAGAGGGGGGACATGACAAAAAAAAAAAAATTCTATATCCCATTTCTTCTCTTAGTTACCATTTTAAGTAATAATGAGGGTGATTTTCTATCTTTCTTTTATTTTATTTTTTTTCCTCTTCCCACCTTCCTCCTTCATGAATAAGAAGGATAATACAACCAATGGGCACAGGATTAACGCAGAGCAGTCAAAGTTGCAGAACGCTTAAGCATCATATTATGCGAGGAAGTGACAGTTCCAGAGAAGCCGTTTCTTTGTTCCCTTTGAACCACAAACTCTGAGTAGCGAGCACTCCATGTGGGTGTGCGAGCGTATTGATTATAGTGGTAGTCAAAACTACTTTTATTGTTATCATTATTATAAGAACGGCAAGTGTAATTTGCTACAGTAGATGTTCGCCGTAATTTTTGAGCAGAAAAAGAGCGCGTTAATGGTTTCCCTGAAGATGTATTTGATCGCACAAAACGGTGCGCACCTGTCAATGGGACCCCTTTACCGTGTGCAAGAGTGTTAGTTAAACCGGTACTAACTGTATGGCGACGCGATGACATCAAAGGTTGCGTAGAAACACCAAACATGTAGTCATTCGTCAGTTCTACTCTGCGCCGTGGAGTACGATTACGGGTGGACGGTGAACTTCGATGTGAAAAGCCACGGCGCGGTGTGGTAATACCACTACGTACGCTTCTTGCAGAAAATGTTTCGCGGGTCATAACTGTTCGTGGAGTTAAACAAGTGTTATTAGAAGAATATAAACGTGTAAAGACATCTTCCTTTCGTCGTGTACACTTCTTAATACCTTTCAACGGTGGTACAACTGGAATAGATAATTCTTGTTTATCATCCTTAGTGAATTGTTCTTGTTTTTGACTCTTTATAGATTTTGAAGATACCTTTTTACCAGTGTGGCTTGAAGAGATATGACGGTCAGACGTATCTGCTGCTGATGACAATGGTGTTGATGAATTAATTAATGGTGCTGGAGGCGGGGGTCGTAGACGTATTGATGGTGTGTTTTGTCGTGAAAATCGACGACGTTCCTCTGATGGTAAACGTCTAAGTGCACTGTTGGTACCAGGGCGAACAGCAGCAGGTGGTTCCCGCAACTTTCGTTCTTCTTCTAGTCGGCGCAATTGATTAGGGTGCACAATAAAAGTTTTGTAGTGCTCATCCCACGCCGAGCAGGATACTTGAGGTGCATATATATCCCCAGGTGCAGCACGAGAGTCCATTTCCTTGCGTGATCGATCTACAGTACGATTGTCATTGTTCTTCACCCGTTTAGCCAAAACTGGTGCATTATTACACATCTCTTTATGTGCAAATACTGGTTTGGGGTACATGACGGTATTGATTCTAACATCACTGAGGGGTTGCACAGGTGTTGGAGATTTCCGAGTATGTAATGAGGGTACCTGAATTGATGGTGAGTTAATTCTAATCTCTGATTCATCACCGCTATCAGGAGCATTGTGACAATGCGACATAACAGTAGAGATGGGAGAGATTGGACGTTGAGAGTGGTCATTGTATCTTAGTTCCCTTACAGAAGGAATAGGAGCGACATGAAGTGGCGATGGTGGATTCTCTGATTCACTCCATATAGAATGAGATGTACGTTCGATGCTTTTACGTTGTGTTGGGTAAATCCTGCTGGTGGATGATAACAATACATCGTTAACTCTACTACAACTTCGGTTAACATCGCCAACTGCTGTGTGCATTGTTGCAGCTCTTGTAGGAGGATCAACCACTGTCGCAACTGTTCCCGATGTAGTTCTTGCATTTTTTGTTCCATCACTTACGTTAAGAAGAAACGAAATCGCTTCGTCTGCTGATTTACCCTCAAATATCATTCGAAGTGCTTCACAGCGATTATCAGATGTTGCATTTGCCATTATATTAAGTTCCGAAATCGAAAGAGTGCGATTAGATCTTAAAAGCATTGCTTGGATAGAGGCAGGTAGACGTTGTATAGAACGTTCCCTTTCCTCCTCAACCTCATCACTGAAAGCATCGCCTACCCGACCTGTAGATAGAGACGCTTCACAACTCTCTTTTCCTTGTTGTCGTTCTTGTTGTTGTTGTTGTTTTTGCTCTCGAAGATGCATCGTCTGACGCTGCCGCAGTTGAATCATCCTCAAACTTTTTTTCACTTTTTGCTTAACTCTATAAACGGAATCAATTGAGTAGAGCCTATAAGCAATGAGAAAGCAGAAACAAACAAACAAACAAAAAAAAAAAAAAAACATAATGCAAACCACAAGCAAGAGATATTCTCAGAAACACACACACAAAAAAAAAAAACAAATGCATTTGTATATGTAAAACTTCCACAAAGGAGGAAAAAAAAAGTATAAATGCTCAAAGGAACAAATAAATAAAAAATGAAAATGAAACAGGTGAAGCTGAAAGGACCACTAGTACAGGAAGCGTCGCGCTATTGCTCGGACTTTTTTCCCCACAACACCACCTTACCTCTTTTTTTCTTTCTTTTGCTTACTTCTTCTTAAGCGTTGCGCCGACGGGTGCCTTTCCTGCAGACTTCTTGGCAGTGGTCTTCTTCGCACCAGCAACCTTTGTACCAATCTTTGTGCCAATCTTCTTTGTGATGGCAGCCATCTTCTCCTGCTTGCGCTTACGCTTGGCATCGCGGCGCTTCTTCTCTGTCTGCGACTTGGCGTGAGCCCTGAGTGCACGCTTGACGATGCGCTGCTCCTCCACGAGGAACGCCCGGACGACGCGGTCCCGCACCTGATCGTGGCTCAACACACCGCCGTAGGGGCGTGAGGTGCTCTTCTTGTGGTGCGAGGCGAGGCGGGCCTCCGTGTGGTGCAGCGCCTTCGTGCCGGCGAGGCGCTTGTGGCCGAGGACCCACGGCGTGTGGGGCCCCTGCGAGCGTTTCTCGCGCTTCTGCATGACGAGGCGGTTGCCGGGAGTGCGCACGAGCTTCATGCGATTGCCGCGCGTTGCATAGTGCATGCGGCGACGGTACTGCACACGTGGGCACGCCATCTCTTGTGCGTGAGGCCTTCAGCTACTCCTGGAATAGACAAGGAAAGAAAAAAAAAAAAAA